GAGAGAGAGAGAGAGAGAGAGAGAGAGAGAGTGTGTGTGTGTGTGTGAGAGAGAGAGAGAGAGAGAGAGAGAGAGAGAGAGAGGGCACCCATGTGTTCTATTTGAATAGAACAGCCGTCCGTTCGCATAGAACATATGTGCGGACCATTCAAATAGAACATACGTGCGTACCATTTCAACGTGCGTACTATTTGGATTTCGGGGGCCAACTTTGAGAAAAGGACTTTTCCAGGGAAAGTTGAATAGTACATACGTGCGTTTTGCTCGGGGGAAGACTGTAGTGGGACTCGGCCCCCGGAGAATATCATGGGGCTACCGTGAAATTGACGCATGCAATCTGAAGATGCCAGATTTTCTGTGCATCTCCCCCCTTCAGTGCCTGTCGGTAATTGGTCATCCTTCCTCACTATTGACCGCATGGCGCACCTTCCTGCCTCAATTCCAGTCCACATCAATAATCTGCGGTCTGGTGCCATGGCTGCGGCAGAGTTGGTGGCGATCGTGATCCTTGGAAGGCAAGCACGGTCGGTCGAGGGGGCAGGCTTCTGGTACGGAGGCTGGAGGGACTGCAGGGCACGCGGCGATTCCGGCGGGTGGTTGGCTGTTTGGTCGGGAGGGGGGTGACCGTTAGTCGGCCCCAAATCGGAATCGCCACGTAAGCATCATATATTGTCTATCTGGCGGAAAAGCGGCGGGCGGGAGTGGCAATTTGGAATGACCAGTGTCTTCTTTTGGCGCTGCCGGAGTGATCGATGGGCGGTGCGGGGGAGGGTGGCTACAGTTTGCTAGTCGGCGCCAAATCGGAATCGACACATAAGCATGATATATGCTCTATCTTACGAAAACGTGGCGGGCCGGAGTGACAATTGGCAATGACCGGTTTGTCTTCGTTTGGCACCGTCGGCGTGATCGAGGGGCGGCGCGCGGGAGCTCGAAAATACTTTAATTCCCTCGCAGCGAGGGCGGACAGCGCACGCGCTCGCGCATGTCGGGATCGGCAGCCATTCATCATGCTGCGGGAGGGGTGGAGTTGCTGATGCGCCGTCGGTACCTCGATCGTCAGCTCGAAGATCGGCGGTTACATCCCCACCATCCCCACCATCCACAGCTAAATCAAAATCAACGGCCGCAGCAGCACGTCAGCATGAGAGCTGCAGTTCTGCTGCGGCGGGGGCCATGGTTTGGGCTTGGGTTTGGGCTTGCCAAGACGAGACTAAGAGCGCCGGGATGGGAGGATCGAACGGGGATTCGAACATGGGCGGTAGTAGCGACAGCAGAGAAAGCTGCTAGAGGGCAAGGGCCGCTCGGAAAAGACCGAGAAGACAAGGGACTGGCGTCAAATTGCCCCCCCCTGGTCGAGAGAAGGAAGAGGAGGACGGAGCTGAACGGCAACAGAGGGTAGGAATCAGAACCTTCCGCCTTCCGGGTTGGTTTCGAGTCTTTCGATGATCGAACAAAAAGGGCCAAGTTGCACAAATTGCGATCGAGCAGCGTTGTGAATTGGTCTGCAGAAACCGTCCAGATGCATTCAAAACCTTGGCGGCGGATGCATTCATTTTCATTCTGAATTCTGAATGCATCTGCACAAACCATCCAGATGCATTCAAAATCTTGGCCGATGGCAAGTGCTGTGCCTAGGTCGTCTAAAAAGACCGCCTTATTTCCGCCAAATGATTGTCTGTGCTTTTTTTCTTTTTTTTCTTTTTTTGTTTTGTTTTCTCGGCCGTCGTCTGAGACCTTCCTTCGTCTCCGTCTTGCTACTCTCTTTGCCCCCTCCTCCTCCTCCTCCTCCCACCCAACCAACCTCCATTCTTTCTGTCTCTCTC